TTTGATCTGAGCAGTTCATCGCATTTAATCTGGACCGTCCGTTCGCGATTAAATAGAAAATGAATCTGGACCATTTATCGCGATTCAATCTGGGCTGTGCGTGCGTGATTCAATCTGGGCGGTCTGTGCGTGATGCAATCTGGGTCGTCCGTGCGCGTTTTTTATCTGGGTCATCTGTGCACGCGGGAATGGATCTCATCTGTTCTATCGCGTGCACGCAGATCGCCCATGTTGCTCCCTTCCGCGTGTCCTCCCACGTCAGCGTCTCAGCCACCTTGCACGTCCTGGTTGGCTGGGGCTACTGACCGGGCAACTGACGTGGTATAATTTTTTTAAATTATATTTTAACGCCTAATTTCTGATTTTTCTTTCAAAAACCCCAGAACCCAAATTTTCACCACTTTTTCCCAAAATTATTTTCAATTAAATTCCTAAATAATTTTTACCCATTTTTATTATTATTATTATTATTTCTATTAAAATAAATTAAACTAAATAAAATTCAATATATCATTACATAAATAATAATTATATTCATATGATAATTATAATAATAAATAATAAAATAAAAAGAAAGGGTTGGGGTGTTACAGTAGAGACCTTGGATACTTTCTCATTTAGTTTGAATCGAGGAGGGGAGTGTGCGTGTGTGGCTGAAGTTCAACGGGTATGGTGAACCTGCACATGGATAGAGTTTAAAATCTAGTTTAGATGTGGATAAGTATTTGTGAGTGTGGGTTACCTAGCAAACGTAACTGTTGTGGCCAATATAAGATTTTGTGTGTGTGTTATCCATGCGATGGGGGGATCTATTTCGTCTCTCCTCGACGACGACATAAACGACGTCGCGTGATGAAACCTCAGTGTATATAAATTCTTTTGAGTGCATGTGGTGATACTTCGAGGCTATAAATGATATATGAGAGTAATTAAGAAATTCGATCAGAAACATGTGAAATCAGAATGTCTGAAACAATTATGTTTAATAAGTAAATTCTAGTTTAAAAAATGGTGAAAATTATAAACAAATTTTGTGTTAAAAATATTACCACTGCATTTGCCACATGTTGTGTGTTTTGCATGATGTCTGATCTGGGTTTGGAAGAATGAAAATACTTATCGAGTTGGTGAAGCTCCTTAAATTTCACCCTTATATTTTTTAAAAGAGAAAGAAGAGTCGAAAAGAATTTGTGAAAGTGATTCAGTTCATGTATGTTTTGTATATTTTTTAGAAATTTTTGTTTTATTTTATTAAACTCTAAATTTTGACCTCATGTTTTGTATATATAACTACTGTATATATCACATAGGATGTTAGGTTTTGTGTTAAATATTTGAGCTGTGCATATGCATGTTTTGTGGGCCATTGTATGAAGAATGGCATGAGTAGATTTGCGCCTCATTATTGGGTTTGGGCTGTGACAAATGAATCATGTCTTGCGTGAATTTTTTGGAAAGTTTGTTGTGGTTTATTTTGATGATATTCGAATTTATAGTAAGTCTTTGGATGATTATCTTGTGCATGTTAGAATTGTTCTAGAAGTTTTAAGAAAGGAACAATTGTTTGCTAACTTACAAAAGTGTGTTTTTAGGGTTTGTTGTTAGTGTAAAGGGAGTTGAGGTTGATAGTGACAAAGTGAAGGCTACACAAGAATGGCTAACACCTAGGAGTGTGTCTAATGTGAAGAGTTTTCACAGGCTGACATGTTTTTATAGGAGATTTGTGAAAGATTTCTTAATTATTGCTACTCCTTTAACTGCAATAATTAAAAAAAAGGTTGGATTCAAATGGGGAGAGGAGCAAGAGCATGCCTTCAATACTTTGAAAGATAAATTATTTTCTACGTTGCTTTGGATTTTGTGTTAGGTTTACCTAAAACTAGAAGAGGTAAAGATAACATATTTATTGTGGTTGATAGG